TATATATATATATATATATATATATATATATATATTGGTCTAAATGATCTTATATAGCAGTTATACAACACGTGTTATGCAATAAGATTAATTGCTGTATTATTATTGTCTAAATTAAAAAATTGTGCATTAGCAATATTTTAAATATACATTCACCCAATGATAATTTTGTTCTTAAAGAAAAAGATTATATTTTCTTTGAATTATATATAATATCCAATATGCATTGATATCTCTCTCTCTCTCATTACTAAATACTTAAACAAACTCTCTTTGCTAGTTCACAAAGCTGCACCCCCAGCTGGGCTTTTATATATTTATCGTACAAACTAAAAAAAGAAAAAAAAAAAAAAAGAATTATCAACAAAATTCATATTTTTTTTTTTCATCACACTCTCATACATCATTTCGATATTACGAAAAAAAAAAGAAAAAAAAGAAACAAAACAACAATAACAAAAGTTATTAAATCTTATATATTAATAGTGAATTGAAATTTTTATTTAATACTAAATAGATGAATTACTCTTATTTATTATCATGCTTCCATAAGAAACTTATCACACCGCATATAGGTAATAATAATAATAATAATAATAATGTTATTTAGTTGTTATTATTATTATTATTATTACCATTAATGATATATTTTTTTTTCACAATCATCCGTGAATTGTTTATTCAAATTGAAGAGATTGCTGTCACAACTAAACTACTAGAATTAATTGTTATTTAGGATTATTCATAAAACTGATAATATAATATAAAGGAATCACTTAAATTTCTTCTTCTTTTTTTCTTTTTTTGTTAATTATATTTTATACATTATGGCAAATATTTATGATCATCAATAACAAATGATCAACACTGCAGTACGAGTACCATTGTCATTAAAAAAAAAAAAAAAATAAAAGAAAGTATATATCTGAAGTTTTTTTTTAAACCAGGTTAAACGTGTTTGACGACTATAACCGGCTACGCTTGATTATCGCGAGACACACCAGAGCGCGCACTCCGCGCACAGACCGCCATACTTTAAATGGTTAATAAGAAAATTATAAATCCACGTTTAACCAACACAAACTACATTTTGACATAAATGCATTTAACTACTACATGCAGCTTACGTGGATTTATAAAGAAGAAAAAAAAAACAAAAAAACAAAAAAATTATACAAATTTAATATTGAATATAAACAAAAACAAAAAAATATGTGAAACCACCGGGGCGAAGATTTATTATAAGCAAAAATAAAATAATAATAAAAAAAAAACAATCTTTTTCAAATGAGATATTATATATCATATATTTTTTTTTATATACTATATAAGAATATATATATGTATATATATATATATATATAAATAGTAATTTGCTGTAATATTTGGATTATTTTAGGAACACATCATCTTTTTTTTACCTTTTTCTTTTTCAAACAATTGCTACTTTGACGTAACAAGAAAGTTATTATTTGAAGGAAACTATAAAATATGAACATTCTAAAAATTCAGTGCTTTCTATTTCAGACTTATTATTATTATATATATATATATATATATATATATATATATAATTAATCTTAATTAGAAACACACTCAAAATTTTGGAATATTATAATGCACAATTTGTGTATATAAAATGTGCTTTTTAAGTCAATGAAATTTCATACATATATATATATATATAATAATAATAATTATTATCACACAATTGTGTTGTACAGCAATCTCACTAATGAAAAAAAAAAAAAAAAAATCCTACTAATAAAATTAAATGATTACCTAGAATAGAGAACACCTGCATATACCAATCAACATTCACACTTTCAATTTAGATCATCACAAAGCAAAGAATTTTTATTATTATTATTATTATTATCATCATCATCATCATCATCATCATCATCATTATTGATAATTAATAATTAATTATTTAATTACATAAGCGAGTAGTAGTCTTTGTAAAAATTTAGCGAGTTTTGATACATCATCATACATCTCTCTCTCTCTCTCTCTCTCTCTCTCTCTTCGTTATTATCACTGTGAATTATCAGTTCGAGTTTTTGGAGCGTAACATTTTCAAAAAAAAAAAAAAAAAAAAAAGAAAAAAAAAAACCAATTTATATGAGATACTTTCTTAAATTATCATTTTTTACCACAGCTGGAAGAATTAACCATCATTTCACGGAGAAAATTGCTCAAGTTAATTACACACTGTTCTTTGTCTTGTTTTTTTTTTTTTTTTTTTTAATATGTTACAACAACACATGTGTTTTTTTTAATGTCTCTTAAGCACTTACTTATTTTGACTTTTTCCTAATACACTTTACACAGTTTTTTTGTTTTTTCTTTTCTTAACTTTTCATTAATGCTGTCTCTCAAATAAAGTATATAATAATATGCTTTTTGTTTTTTTTTGTTTTTACTCCCTAGGGCTCTCGATGAAAATTCACTAAAATCACTTAAATCACTCCAAATCCATATTACAAACAGGTCATTCCAGTTCGCAAGATATTAAAGAGACATTGATAGTTTGTCCAATAATAACAGTTCTGATATTACATAGTTAATGCAACACACTATTAATAAACTACCCCACCAATTGGTATGGGGGGAGGGGGAGGTGTATTAAATATGATGCACTAAAATGACGAATCTGTAATTTTGAAAGAGGCATCAGCAATTTAATAGTCCTTGCAGTAAAGCATCTTATTATAAACTGGCTTAATTGCAATATATAATTTTTCGAATCATCTTAAATCCATTAATATATATATTCTTATGCAATTCTTAAAGCCATACGTTTATTAGATGATGGTGCCCCAAGGATACTTCTCTTTAAACCATATGATACATGCACAACCCCTAGGTTGTATATTTACACATGGCTTAATTAATGCAATAATTACCTTCATTTTATGAGAGAGAAGAGCAACATACACATTTCTTATTATATTAATTCATTATTTTCTTTCTCGTTAAAGATGGTATTATTAATGAATATTTTATTATATCTCATATGTTGCTATGGTTTTTCTTTTTTCTTTTTTTTTTTTTTGTTGTTGCAAAAATTGCATAAGCATAATTATTATCCTATGTACATCGATGAAAAATGTATCCCTTTCCAGTCTCCATTTTTTTTCTTTTTTTTCTTGTTTCTTTTTTTTCTTCTTCTTCTTTTTTGGTAACTGACCTATTTACATTATTTTATCTCTTGAGGCACACTGCGCCATTCGGCTATTCTGGTATAACATTAATAATGAAATCCAGCTTCAGACAACAGTTGTTGTTGTTGTTGATGTGTTTATCTTGATTAATAAAATGTTCGAAACATTTGCATCCATCCATTTTTACAACATCAACCTTTGTGTGTTTCAAATATCTTATCTGATATTTTGTATGTTAAATAGCTTCTTCCGAATGTAAATTAATATTATGTGTAGATGATAATAGTTCACTCATATCAAACTGTATATAGTATATTTTTGTCTGTAGAATTGAGTCCATTTCACTGTCCACTGTAATATTGTATTCTGCCCGTTTCTGCTGTCTCTCTCATAACAGCATCCCACGCTGTGTTCATGAAAATGAAAGAAGATTAAAAACAAAATGAAAAGATGATCATATAAGAAATATAAAATGAAATAAAATATAAATTAAATAATTCAACTTACCCAATCCAACAAACGAGACAATTTTATCGTGATTATAGTTCTGTATATTTACATCTTCTTCCGGTGCTACATACAACATGGCAAAATCTTCCTTTGGTTGATGATTGTATTTTTCTATAATTCCAGGAGGTGGTGGTGGTGTTGGTGGAGAATACATTGCTGGTGGAAACCTTGTTGGATATCCAATATATGTTAAAGATGGAACCATCACAGAATGTACTGGTTGTTGAGCCACGTGAGTGTTAGGCGATTGCATATGAAAATTTGGAGGAAATTTATCATATCTCACATGTTTGTCGTAGATAGCAGGTGGCCTGTTGTCAAAATTTGGAGGTGGTTTATTGAGAAGTGGTTGGACCAAAGATGGAAATGTAGGATTTGCTGGTGGAGTCTCTACAGAATCTTCAGAAAGTAAAAGTTCATTAATCTCAAACCCAAATGTTAACTCTGTTGGTAAATCACTGCCTTTTAGAAAGTCAGATGTCTCATCCAATAAGATAACTGCAGGTCTGGATGAAGTATTGTTCTTCTTTGTAGATCCTTGTGTTTCTACGGATTTCTGTAATTTATCATTTTCAGTAGACATCAATGGTTTTGATTTTTTATTTTCATTATCCTCTTGTTGATTATCTTGTTTTGTATTATGAGATAATACAACTCCAGATTTTCCAGACTGCTCTTTCGCAGTTTTTACTACCATTTTGTCTATCTTCATCGGTGTTTTAACAGAATCTGCATCAACATTCTGTACTTCGTGTGTCAACTTTGGATTATTCAATCCTTTAAGTTTTGGAGCTTCATTATCATCTATTATCGTTCCTATAACATTAGCTTTGGTTTCACAATATACAGTAGGACTCTCTGTGTTATGTATCTTCTTGACATTTTCATCTTGATAACCAGTTTTCCTATAATGTAATTCTTCTTGTTGATTTTGTATATTTTGATTACTTTGCGAATAACTTCTCCTATTTCGTGGATTATTTACTTTTGTATTCGCAACAATATCTTTATTGTTATTAGAATAATTAGGATTGTTATTTTCAGAATCGAATGAATTAGTAGTAGGAGTAGTAGTAGTAGTGTTATTTAATTTAGATTGAATTGCATTTGGTGTTGACTCATTCGAATGTGGATTACAGTTAATTATGTTCAGATGTTTTTGTTCCTGTTGCGTCAAACTTTGTTGCATTTTTTCTATATCCTGAAAATATTTGAAAACTTGCATATTCTTATTAATTGCCTCTTCTTGAGCTTCAGCCTTCTTTCGATCTGACGAATTCTTAATCTTCGACAAAGTTGGTGATGGTGGTTTTTCAAAAGTAAGACCAACATTGTGAACATGATTAGAATGTGCAAAACCATGTTGTTTTGGTTTCCTATCGGAGTGTTGTAATTCATCCAAACTTGGATAATAATCTTGAGGTAATTTGTCTGGTTCTGAGGGAGTTTTAGATGGAACTCTTGGCCAAGATGACGTATTTAACATACTTGGAACTATTGGCATATTTAAAACTGAATTATGTGACATATTCATAGTAGCCATGCGAGCTATATCTGCGTAACTTGCTTGTGGTGTTCCTCCCGAAGAGGTTGCTGTTTTCGATAGATTATGTTTCGAGGTATTCGATGTAACAGGTAACGAATGGACCGAATCCAAGTCGCTGCTATCAGATTTATCGCTGTAAACAAATATTACATATATAATACAAATAATTCAACAACAACATGAAATATTGAAATATATAAAATATTTATTGTACTGTACCTTGGTGGCATACTGCTAGTAGATTTTCTTCTGAGTTCTGGTGACAACGGTGCTCTATACTCGTTCGAAAATCCTCTTGGATTTTGTAAATATGATCCAGTTGTTGATAAGTTTTGCGCTCTACTACCACTGGAACTTCTACGTTGTTTTTTAGTCTTCTTCTTTTTAGTAACTATTAAAAATTCAGGCTCCTGTTCTGGTTCTGGATTTACTTTTTTGTTAGAGTTTCGACGACTAGTATAATCGTCTCCAGTATCATTGCAATAAATAGACTGACCCTCCTCTGTTCCCCAAGAACGTCTGTCACCACGGCAATCTACCGCTGCATCTCCTGTACTTCTTTGTTTTGCACGACGTAATGCTACATTAATTGTACCTTTTTAAGAACAACAATAATAATTAATATAAATATTTCATATAAAGTGTATCATTTTAAACAAACAAATTCAAACTTACTACTATGCTGACTGGAGATACTGCTATTGCCACTAGAACAATTGCTTTGTTCTGCGGTAAGATCCTCGAGTTTCGTTTTTGATATTTCCTCTAATGAATTTGATTTTTGTAATTTACTTGATAATTGTTCTCTTTTAGAATCCTTTTCTCTTGTCCTAGGTTTAGTTCCAGAACTAGATTTCACTCTGACAGGATTACCAGTTTTGTTCTTTTTACCTTTAGATTCTTTGCTTTCGATGAAGTTAAGTAAACTATCAATATCGTCCTCATTACGATGTCCTACAACGCTTTCAGCGCTATAAACAGTAACATTAGGTTCCTGTCTATGCTTCTTTCCACGTTTCTTTCGTTCTGCATTATAATTTTGTACAGCATTACCATTTTCATCAAGAGATTTCTTTTCCGCAGAAGAAGTAGCATCTTTCATTATGGCATACTGTGTTGTACATCTTGGAAGTTCTATTAAGAAATTATATATTATTAACATTGAAATCTTACTTTTTTCTTTTTTTTTAAATAATTAATTAATATCAATATCTTACCTAATGCATTATTTTGAATCTGCCATGAAGCTGGCATCATGGAACATAAACTTGAGATTCCTTTTCCTTGATTATTGTTAGTACTGTTTCCTGAACCACCAATAACACATTTCGCACTATTGTAGGTTTGAAATGGAAAAGTTCCCGTCACCTCAGCACTAACTGATATCTTTGATTTATCCTGTTTACCGTTATGATCACAAATTGGAAATTTTATCGTAGTATCTACAGGAGTTTGAGCTATATCAACAGTAGCACGTGCTATAAATTGTCTACGTGGTTCAATTATTTTCATTTCAATTCCCTCATCTTCAGCGTCTAATGAGTGAGGTCTTTGTTGTACCCCACTTGTTGTAGATCCAACATTCCTTTCGCTAAGAGCACCTACCTATAAGAAATCATTTACAAACCATTATCTACTTGTGTAATTCATTTTGAATACTTGAAATGAAATCTTTTGCAGCATTACCTCGACATAACTTAAATCAATAACGGTGTAATCAGATTTATACTCTGGTGGTGATTCAAGCATCTCATTTGTCCCGTATTTTCCTTTCTTGCTTATCCTCTCGCGATATTCACTTTCAGTTTCGAAAAAGTCCTCTATAGTGAGAAATTCCTTTTTATTATCTTTTTTGTCTTTCTCTTTGTCTTCTTTTTTTGATGAAACAACACTCGACGATTTATCTAAAGATTTTGACTTCTCCTTATTAGTCCAATCATATGTTGTTCTTTCTTCATAAAAGCCCTTCTGTAGAAAAAATCATAAAATACAAAATTGTAGTTTATAATGATTGAAGATATATGAATAGAATATAAAAATGATGAAGATATCGATACACAAACCTTGTTGTCAAATAGGGGATCAAGATTGGCCAAAGAAACAAGACTGTTGGCCAAAGAAATAAGGCTGTGGGATGCGTTAACATTAGATGGTAAAGATCCACCTTCTCTTTCCCTAGCAGAAACACTAGGACCTGTATATTTCTTATTCTTTTTTTTACCACTTCCGTAAGTGTGACTAGAACCAGATGCTAGATAAGCAAAACTACTATCAAACTCTGATGCAATAGGTTGTGCTAAATTCTGTAAAGAACCACCGTGTCTGTGACGTTCTGATACAGAATCTCGTTTATGCCTTCTACGAGTGGAAACAGGGAGACACCGTGAATTAGTCACTACCCTACGACCTTCTTCGGTCTCATCAGCTTCAGCTTCTTGTAAGAGTTCCTATAATAGGAAGATTTCTTTTTTCTAATATTGCCTTTATTTTCTGTTAACATTTTATAATATAAATCATATTATGAAATTGAAATGAATCAAGTACTTTTTTTTTAATTAAATATCTATAGAAATAAAAAAAAAAAAACATGCTTTGAATTATTTCATTTTAATGAATACCTTAAATAAATTAGATTTTCCTTCTCGATCTTTAGGTCTTTTATAATTTAAAGCTTCGTTCAGTAGTGAACGTAATCCATCATCATCTAAGGCAAGGACCGTTGATTTTCCCTAAACAACAAAATAATAAATAATATTATTAATATATGAATTTATTATAATACCTGTATATATATATATATATATGTGTTTTAAACAAGTATTATATATGTATATAAGTATTTAAAATTAAATAAAAACATTGTAAGATCAGTAATAATATATTCAAAGAATAGTCTGATTTGAAAGAGTTGTGTCACTAAAAAGAGTATACTTGTTGTATTATATAAGATACAAGAAATTAACTAGCATGACTGTAGCATGACTTTTCTCATTCATGCATAATTTCAGTTTTTAACAACAACAAAAAGAAAAAGAAAAAAAAAGAAATAAATAAATTGCATACTATACAAATATATTTTCTACAATGAAATTAGTGATAGCACAATTTAGAAATAGAACGTTTTAAACATCCATATATGGTAAAGAAGAATGTACTTGGGCAATTACAATTCAAATAAGGTAAGTATGTCAATTGATTATAACCAAAACTTTAGTATCAATTCTATTTTGGAAAATGATTTTCACAATGTGTATATAAAATGATGTTGTTTTGTATTCAATTAATAATAATCAATTTCATTTGTTTATATCTTAATATAGATTTTTGTGTATGTATGTATGTATATACAAACAAACAAAAATAACTTGTGCACAATTTGAAATAAGAATTTGATGAATAAGAAATGTCGAATGATTAAATATATGAAAACAATGAAAAATGGTTCATCAGTATATTCATTAATTGTGAAGAAATGCAGAATACAATGTTTCATCAAGTTTTATGTTTCCAATATTTGATAACTCTTTTTTTATACGACGTTGAGTTACAGCTTATCTGAAACATTATTATACATACTTTTTGATCATGCTAATATATATAATATTAAACATTATATTTAAACTATGTAACAATATTAGCAACTTGTAATATATCAATTTACACAAAACTGTATCAAAATTATATGGTTAGGGTTGGTATACAGTATTATATATATATATATATATTATTTGATCTATCATTGTGAAGCATACAATTTTTGGTTAGATTTGTTATCGCAGTTGGTACACTCAATTATAACTTGTATTCAAATAATAACCAAATGTTGAAAGTTAAATATGGATTTTTAAAAAAAGGAGGGGGGGAGTTTACTTAGTGCAAATAAATATACCATCTTTTTTGTATCATTGTTGATAAATCTATAACCCATTATTATTATTATTATTATTATTATTATTATTATAAATTCAAACATAGGGAGGAAGAAAAAAAATAATAAAATAATGGTTCCTGTATATATATATATAAAAAAAAAGAATTAGTTTCTTTTGTCAGTAGGGTAGAGTAAACGTATGGCATGAAACAAAAAAATCATTGATTAAGAACTTTTTAAGGAAAAATAATATAAGTATAACGACGTCTTGGTTTTTTTTTTTTCCTTATTGAAAAGAAAGAAAGAAAAAAAAATATATAATAAATAAATAAGTAAATAAATTGATAAATAAATAAAATTCGTTAGATTCAATCTGTACCTTAACACCAAGAGATTTGGCAAAGTTAGAAAGAAGACGATTGGCAATAAGAAACTCTTCGGTTAAGTTCCACCGAACGATAGAAGATCGCCGTTAATAATGACGCACCGTTGTCGAGTAGCCCTTGAAAAGAAGAAAGGATATCCAATAGCTGATTTTACCATTGGGCAGAAATTAAAATAGGACACGCAACGAATGGGGATGGATTTGGGCTTGTCCAGAGATCAATAGACGTTCCACGATTAGCCCGATCGAGACACGAGATATCGGTGTGACTTACAAACGAAGGAAAATCTGCTTGCGACAGTGCCGGCACGGAATTTATATTTTTAGAGGGCACCTGGGTCGGACCGCACACAATCGTCTCTCTCTCTACTGCTACTGCTACTGCTACTGCTGCTGCTGCTGCTGCTAAATTCACCTCTCACTGTTTTAACGATAGTTATGAAACCGTAATGATAGATTATTCTAGATTAATTCGTGTCACAAATAATACACACACACAAGTTAATACGATCATGAGTATTCGAATAAAAACAATTATAATGATAGTTTGCAAATATACTGCCGATTTAAGTATTTAACGAGCGGGCGCGGCGCGCACTTCTCAGCATGGCCGCCGCCATTACACTGAAATCGTAACTGCCTCAGGACCGTAACTAACTTCCTCTTCTCCCTCATTTCCGCATTGCACTATTTTTTTCCCTATCTTTCTCCTTTTACTTCCTCCTTCTTCATTTCTTTTACAGATATATGATATATTTGATCATTATTTCTCATATATATAGAAGACAAAAAAAAATAATATAATATACATATATTTTTTAAAAAATATATTCGACAAATCTTATTGGCTATTATGATTGCTAAAGACGTGAATATAACAACTCTATACATATTATTATCTACTTAATAATTCTTATCATATGTGGTTTAGCAATTTCTTTTTCTTTCTCCATTTATAAAAACATTTTGTTAATTATTATATTGTTGATGACAATAATATAAAAATAAATCAAATGAAATGTTGCTCGATTAGATTTATCTGATAACAAAAAAAAATATATACATATATATATATATATAATATATTATTTTTTTTTATATTTACGATAAAGAGTAAGAACATATGAAATTACTAAATAATTTCAAACGAAAATTGTTATAAAACTTTTGATACGGTTGATAGATACTCAGTATCGTATCAATAAAACATGATGCCACAAGTAAAATATATATATATACATATATATGCGAAATATTATTTTGTATTACAAAAAAACATTTTGTCACATAGAATTTTGACCTTAACACCATGATATTTTTCTTATTTATGCCCTAATCTGTGTATGTTTTAAAAATATATTGAAAATTATCGTTTAGAAAGTGACTAGCTAATAACCTGATTGCTAAAAACAAAGTAAAAAAAGAAAAAGACAAAAAAACTGTACAAAACACCTAAAAGAAAAAACGAAAAGGCAGAGAAAAAAGAGCAAAAAAAAAAAGCAAAAAAAGCGACTACCAATTTTGAAGACTGTTTCAACTATATTACGTCACATTGTATGTTCCATTGGTTCTGAACATGATAATTGATTTTGTATCATGACGTGTTTTAAATTATCTAAATATGTACACACAGATCTTCTAACTAAAGTGTGTCCAATTGGAAATGATTTTTACAACCAACACACAAGAAGAAGACTTTGGTTTAGTCGACACAAATAGAAAACGCTTTATCGTAATGAGATTATAATAATATTATAATTTTGCGAGGTTAATGGAGTCCAATAAAGATATACACACACATATATATATATATATATATTTACATATTATTTTTTTGTTGTTTTTTGAAGACAAACTCGATTGGATAAAAATGATTTATCATCAATGTCTTTCAGTATTATCCGAATATTCATGAGTGAATGGAAAGAATCATAAAAATACAGTCAATAAATTATAAAAATAATATATATATTTCTCTCTTTTTTTTTTTATCAATTATCCTCGAAGATATGAACCAAAATAATTCAATTTTTTAACTAACTTTTTCATTTATCCTTTGCATATATATATTTGTTTATATGCGATTGCATTAACAGTTTTCGATAGATCACGTAATTGATGCATTGATTTCATAACTTTCTTTATATAAAGAGGGGAATAAAAAAAAAACAAAACAAAAAAATGAGAGTACGTGGGGGAAATAATCCTAGTAACAATTTTACAGATGCGATTCTTTGTAGGCCTACTAAAAATGAAAGAAGAAGAAAAAAAAAGGAAGAAAATAAAATAAAAAAAGAAGAAAGTAAATGTGTCGAACAACAACAACGTTGATAACAACGACGAGCAGAGAGATATTCGCTGCTCACCTTTTTATTGTCAGAGCCGCTGTTAGGTGTTGTACCTTGACCGTTTGTAGGCTCAGAAATTGTATCGATACGCGGGTTGCTAGTTGCTTCAAGATTATTATTCTGAACTACCAAGGCCTCTGGCGTACCGAGTATAGTACTTTCGGAAGCCGAATCATTGCCGATTTCTGTTCGACTGTTATCAGTGTTGCTTTTGTCAGGTGCAACCGGTTCCTGACGATGGTCCGGCCCTGGGGACATCTTGACGTTGATTGACAGGACCGTGTCCGCCGTGCTCATAGTCTCCTTGTCATTCTTCGCAAGACGTCTTTTGGAACGTCGTATTAACGTTAGAATAATAGCGAGAGTAACATCAATAACGATTCTAATGAAAAAAAAATGTGTTTAACGAAGTATCGCTTACGATAATAGTTTCATGCGATTCCTCATCTATAGGTAACTTTATTGTGATATATATGTATATATATATATATATTTTGAAAATGTGACAATATGACAGCGAAACGAGCACGAATATTTTCACGTTGTAAGATTGACTAACGTTTTATTCGTTGAACGTCGTCGACACGTCGTAGTAGTAGCTGTTCTTTTATCATCGACTTACGAACGCGTGTGCTTGCAGAACAGTCCGTTCCCTGATTCGTCAATGACAACGACGACGACACAATTGGACGTACCGAAAGTGCAAGAAGAATAAGGAGAGCTTGAAATGTTTTTTTTTTCTTTTCTTTTCAGGCGCGTACTGCACGCGCACCGGGAACGACAAAAACGGTACCATCCATTCCAACGTCAAACGTGCTTTCAACTTTTATACTTTCCCTTGCACTTGATCCTTCCTTTCAACACTTCACTCATTTTCGTAGTTTATATTAAGGACATATCTTCGAGGTTAATTGAAACACTTTGTTTTCTACATCTAACTTAATTTTTATCTCACTTTCGACTAAATCAAATAATGTTCAGTCTATTTTCATCATTTACCTGGTTTTAACCTATGAGCTCTGTCCGTTTTCCTTTGACAAATGAAATTAATTTCGCATTTTAACGTAACGAAACTGTGTACGTCTGTCTATATCCAGAAAGTATTATTTTCGAGTTTTCTTCTCCTTTGCGTTCCTTCCAACACCTTTCTTTTTTTTTTTTTTCACACCGCTCGACCTCCTTCCTCCATTCACTTGGAAAAAGAGACGACGACTACGATGACGACAAAATTGATATTCGCGGGTGTTCGATGCGACACTTAGTAAATCCAAGATGGCCGTCGTACGGAGAGCGGTACGAAGAGAGCGGCACGTACGCGTCAACCGGTCACGACTTATTCGAATGCAGACGCACAGTGTCCAAGTCCTCTCCTCGAAAAGGTTTCTACTCGTGAAAACGAGTACATAGCATGCGTGGACGGAGTACGAGGACGGGAGAGCGGATCCGTTCTCGTGCGTGACCCGTTGACGGCATCACTCCTCCGTTTCGTTCGGTCTCTCGGCCTCGAACCAGCCACTGCTTTCTCCCTTACTCCTTCTATCTTTCGCTTTAGATACCTTTTTCTCTCTCTTCTTTACATGCACCAGTGTCGTACCACGCACTACTACTACTACTACTACTACTACTACTCCTCCTCCTCCTCCTCATCATCATCATCATCATCATCATCATCTTTCGTCTTTTTCTTTTTCCTTATTTCTAGCTCGATACCTTATATGACACACAAGGAAGATTTCATGTAGGAAGAAGACAACTCTGATCAAAGCTCACTGACACTTTCAAATCATTCACGGCAACTTATCGATCGTGCCAATGTTCACCTGTGTCAATTGTCCGTTATACCTTCGTACACCACACTCTTCTCGACACGATCGTAGTAGAATATCCTGCCTATACAGATAGAGAGCAAGAGCGAGAGCGAGAGTACGCGAAAGAGAAAGAAGGAAAGAAAGGGGAAAGAAAAAGATCAGAGAGAGAAAGAGAGAGAAAGAGAGAGAGAGAGAGAGAAAGAGTGACAATGTATGAGGGGGAAATTATGAAGAGGTAAGGATATAGACGTTACCTCGTTGTCTCTTCGTTTTTACAGCTCGATCATGTATATGAATCACTGATAAATCTTGCTTAATGATCTATATGATCATTGATCGCATGTCTAACAAATCACACGCATTAAATTTCACTCGCGCATTTAAGTCAAAATATTAAAATCGTACATGTCACGTCAAAGATTCGGTCAAACTAGGCGGCAAAGCGTCATTTGTCTTTTGCAGTTTTCAATTGTTTCTTTCTTATCTCTCTCTCTCTCTCTCTCTCTTTCTTTCTCCCTCCTTTTTTTTCTTTTTCTCTCTCTCTCTCCCTGTCTTTCTCCACTCTTCTTTGACGAACGACAGGAAAATGTCGATTGCACTAAGAAAAGAGAAAGATCATTTAATGGCAAAGAATATGTGTCTCTCACAACAGTCAACAATTTTCTTTTTTTTTAAGATGCAATAAAAACCGCGATTACAATTTGCGCGGAGAAACACAACCGATCAGACGCCGTTTGGCCTCCGAAAATGTCGTCTGGTTTCAGGGACGTCATCATTCTTTACTGCACCTTGTACCAAATGATTCTCGTTACCTCGTATCAACCAATAATACATTTTGCTTAAATATTTTGAAAATCTTGTTCTTTTCTTCTTCTTCTTCTTGTTTTTTTTTTTTTTATTGATTCCTCTTCTTTGTTGTTCAATTAAATTTTATGCGTTGACAAATCGATACGAAATAATATCGAAATAATTTCATTTGTCATTGCGAATTGTTGCATTTACATTTTTGTAATTTAACGATAATTTCTTACATACTTTGAGACGATATTTCTGTAAAAAAACGTTTAATCAACTAAAAAATATTGTTTGTTTTTTTTTTAGTAGAAATTTATAAAGAACAAACATGAATGGTTTGAAAATGTATGCGACGATCCTGCTGCTCCAAAGCGAATTTATGTGCGTCACAAAAGTCGATAAGTCTCGAACTCGAATGAGCTCGTGCGATTCGATTGTATCGATTCATTGACGTTATTCGCTAAAAAAGAAAGAACCTGGATTAAACAGCGGAGTGCTGCGATTAAATGCAGTGAGAGAGAGAGAGAGAGAGAGAGGTGGTACGTTTACCGAACGAAACTCTGTAAGTGTTTACATGTATTATAAATGTTATTACATAAAATAAATATTGCAAATTATTAGAATAAGAATTTTCTTCGTTTTCAGATAAAGAATTTCATATACATTACTTTTTACCAAGCCAAAGATCAAAGACGTAAAAATGATTGAAACTGAGAATATTTTCCTATTCGTTCCTAATATTATAGGTAAATCAAAAAATAATGTAAACAAGATATAATATAAATTATTTTGATAACATTAGACTAATACTAATATGCATATTGAATGCATTTAATGTAGATAATACACAAAATAATAATAAAAAAAAAAAAAATAAAATTATTCTTGGGCGTAATATTTGTCATAATTAAAAAAATAATTGAACTTTTGTTCAAATACTAATGATTTTAATATAACCTAAGATTTGACAATAAATTTGATTATTTTAATTGAAATGTAAATTGTAAATGTAAAGCTTTGAAATATTGTTANTAAACAAGATATAATATAAATTATTTTGATAACATTAGACTAATACTAATATGCATATTGAATGCATTTAATGTAGATAATACACAAAATAATAAAAAAAAAAAAAAAAAAAAAAACAACTTTAACATAAGCATTAACTTAATTCAAAGTTATTTATTGAAAAGACAACGATTAAAGCTACTAATGATTTTAATATAACCTAAGATTTGACAATAAATTTGATTATTTTAATTGAAATGTAAATTGTAAATGTAAAGCTTTGAAATATTGTTATATCGTATAAGTAATGTAAATCTTATCACAAGAGTGTTAGCATTTGTATGACTTCTTATATATTGATTAATATCTGTGTGTACTATTTCTTTATATAGTATATTTGAATTATTTGTCTAAATCTAATATTATTTCTGTATCATAAAAGAAAACTTTGTTTATTATTTTTTTTTTTACCAACAGGTTATGGAAGAGTGATCTTGGCTTTGATATCTTTTTATTTCATGCCAAGTAATTATATCATTGCATCTTCGTGTTATATTATAAGTGCTTTATTAGACGCAGTTGATGGACATGCAGCTAGATACTTCAATCAAAGCACAAAATTTGGTGCTATCTTAGATCAATTAACTGATAGAGTTGGTACCATGTGTCTCTTGGCAACTTTATGTATGTTTTATCCTTCCTACAGTTTTTGGTTTCAATTAAGTATGGGTATTGATATATCTTGTCATTGGATTTATCTTCACACGTAAGAATTTACTAATTAATATTATTAAGGATTATATCAAGATACATATATATATATTTTCTAATTTTTAAAGGATATTGTATATATATATATATACAAACATTATTATTAATTAGTAGCAATAACTATACAATGATACGTTTACAGAACATTGCTACAAGGAAAGACGAGTCACAAATTTATTGATATGTCTGAAAATCCAATCATGCGAATATACTATACCAATCGTACCGTTTTATTTTTCATGTGTGCTGGAAATGAAATGTTCTATGCTACCTTATATCTTCTTAATTTTACCGAAGGACCCATTAGTAAGTAATATTTTTTTTTTATATAGATAATTGTACGTAACTGCATTAACTAAAATTTTAAATTATAATTACATGTAATAACAAAAGTTAATTGGTACATTTGTATTAAATATTACAGTGGCCGGTATAGGAATGTATAGGATACTGATGTATCTCTCAGCTCCAGTTGCAATAGTCAAGTCAGCAATCTCAATTTTGCATGGATATGTATCTTGTATCAATATGAGTATAATTGATCAGAAGGAACGTCAGGAACATCTTAAAGCAAACTAAAATGTCTTGCTTACATATATTCATTGCTAGTCATAGTAAATGTGATCAATCGATCTTCCTTGTTTATAAAGTGACATATATTTAAAGGATGCATTTCAATATAAATATATAAATATATATATATATATTATATTTTAACAAGTATATCTTATTGAAAATATATTAAAATTGTTTATTTTTCATATTATAAATAAAGAACACATTTAATGTACTTGTTTTCCAAATTTCTTTCCCCACCATAACCTAAATTTTTGTAATATTAATTTGCATCATGTGTGATAACAATATCTTTACTTATTTATAGGTTAAACAAAAACTATATTTTTAGTATTATTATTTATTATTAGAGATAATAATAATAAATATTAAGATAATAATAATAATAATGTATTTTTAGTAAAATTATAAGAACTAAGAAATAAGGTATAAGGATATTGTTTTAATGATGTCTGTAAAATAATTTGACATGGTACTCAAAGAATATACACCTTTACAAAGAATTAACTAGCGACATAACAACACTATTATATGCATATTTTTCAAGATTAAGTTGTAATTGTTAAAATGCACTTTCATTTTTACTACTATACCAACAAAAACAACAAAAATTGCAAGGACACGTGTTACAATTTTACGTACAAGACTCTATTCATAATGAATATAAATATTTAGTATGCATTATTTAAATTGAAGAATAATTATATATGGAATTGTTCACACAGTAATAATATGTCAGTTTTGTTATAATAAAATGATAATACTAACCTCCAAACTCTCGATTTCATTCTCCGTCATGACCAGTCATGTTTGGGCGCCATGTTCTTTACTTCAAACACTCGCGCATGCTGCTAAGTTAACAAAGTTAGCACAAGTTTTTTTTTAGTAAGAATTAAACTTAACGCAATAAAACTTTACATATATTCACTAAATATCCTATGAGATAAGAAATTTCTTATCATGGATGATATTTTTTTTATTATTATGATCTAATTATATGAAAATAATGCAGAATATTTATAAAAACAGATGAAAATTTGGCGTACCCGTGACAAAGTAAATTGCCATAAAGTAGTAGCGCCACGGTCGCTAGTTGGCTACGATTGAAAATGGCGCGAATTTGTCTTATTTGAATTTATTTTTCTACATTACTAGTTTAATTACATTCTTACATAAAAGTTTAAAAATTAAATTAAAAAAAACTATTATAATATTTGAGATAAAAATTATTTTTGGTATTTATTAATGTATTTCTAGGTAAATTTTTCTGTATACATCCAGTATATTATTAATAAAAAAAAATTATAATATTGAACACTCATAAATAATAAAGGGTTGATTTTAGAAATCCATGTTATTTAGACATTGTTTTACTTATCTCAGAGAATTAGAAGTCCTGTAATTATCAAACCTTTTTTTTACCACTCTATCTATATGAAATTATATTAATAGTTGTATCTTTAGAAAATTCTTTTGAAAATGTTTACGCTATATTCTTACAATGCTATCACTCAAGATATATAAAAACAAAAAAAGGAAAATTTTTCAAAATCTTTTTGATTAATACTTTTATATATATATTTTAAGAAAAAGTTACCTACTAAAAAACACACTTCTCTACATGCAAACACAAGAAACGGAAAAAGACTAATTACTACATAACTCATATAAAAATGTTTTCGACATTATTTTGAAACTGCTTGGTAAAAAGTAGTCTTACTTTTATATAAAGATGAAAGCTTTGTATAAAATATATAAAACTATTATATGTAATAATAATAATAATAATAATAATAAAGAATTTGTGCTTTTCTCAAAAATCTACAACTAACATTAATCGATCTCTTACAGTTTAAATCGGTAACCAAGAAAATGTTATATTATATCCAGTCAATAACAATGCAATTAACATATTAATCTCGCAAAGCGATAATATTCTCTTCTTTAAAGTTTAAATCTGCTCTTGAAGGATAGACAACTTTCAGATTACCATCTGTGTCAACTATTTTCACTTGTTCTATTTTTAAATTATGATACTGATTATTTTCATTATCTGAAGGTGTACTACCAATACCTGAGATAATTAATTCTTTTAAAAATTCATCGAGTACATTTCTGTGAAGAAAACATGTATATATATATATATCGTTTAGTATTTAATATTTCATTTATTATAAAATTATGCATTTATATGAGATTTGATTTTACCTGCAAACTTGATATGACGTGGCACTTGTTACTTCTACTAACATATTTTTTGTTGTTGGCAACATTTTTGTTAAGTCACTATTACAAATTGGTGGAAATGATATAACTTGATCTTTGGTGTCTACAAGACAAGGATATAATGATTTACCTTCTAGTAAATACAAGTATTTATGTATACCAGAATATACATTTCTCTTTTTTTCTTTACGCAAATTATCAGCCTCTTTTTGTAATTGTTGAAATAATTCTATACCAGTGTAATTTTTATTTCTCTGTAATGGTTGTATTTCTAATTCCATTGGTGGCTTAGCTGTATATGTTAAATCACCTAAAATATAAAATAAAAATTACAATTGAATTTAATTAATGCATTAAAGTTTCAATTAATKAATTTACCTGGTACAATTTGATCCAAATCATGTGTGGCTATTGTAGCAGCATTTCTTTTTTCACATATTCCATCGTGTAATTTAGTTTGTAATTGTATAAACTTTTTTAATGTGTCTGGTGTAAATACTAAATCTCTTATAATACATGCAGTTATATAAGGTCTAACATTTTTCACATGTTGAGTGATTTTTATCGATAAAGTACTATCAGATGTTTTCAATACTTTCAATTTATGCGCTAAAGCATCTACCTGAGCCGCAGCATTTTCACTTTCAGATAACTTATTACCCTTTTTCCCCTTTTTTGATTTACTTGTAACATTATTAGAAGGATTTTGTTTTGGACAATGTAATTTGACATATTCTAGTACTTGCTTTGTATGGCACTGGTCAACCAACTTTGCTAATCTTTTATCAGTCAATGAATTATTTTTTAAATTCAATTCTTTTAATTTATGACAATCTGCTAATTCACCAGGAACAGCTATAAATACAATAAATATATCATTAATTGTATTAACATTTATACAGAATCATTTTGTAATGCATATAGTACCTGTAAGTTGATTATCAGCTATGTTGAGAACTTTTAAAACTTGCAGACGAGATATTTCTCCAGAGATACTTTTAATCAGATTCTTGTTAACATGGATTTCAGAAAGATGAACTAATTCGGTATAACATACATCAGGAAATACTTCCAATTGATTATTAGACAAATCTAACGTAGTCAATTTAATATTTTTCATTTGACACGGTATAGATTGCAATAAATTAGAACCAAAATTGATGCTACTCAATTGAGGAAGATTTCCAACAGCATTTGGCAAAGAAGTCAATTTATTTTGCGAACAATGAAGAAATTTCAATTTGGTCAATTTTTCAATAGACTCGGGTAACTTTTTTATCTCATTTGAATGTAATACCAATGTGGCAAGGTTATGCAATTTTCCTATTTCTTCAGGTACTTCTTGAAGACACGTATGAGTAATATTTAAATAATTTAAATTGTTAAGATTAAAAAGCGTTTTATCCAAACCATTTTCAGCAATCAAACGAGAAACTGATGGACCAGTTAAAACTAATTCGTGTTTATTCTCATCAGCTACTTGTTTAATAATATCCCATGAATTGTCAAAAGCCATTATTGTTCGATTATTATATATTTCAAATGTATATTATTGAGAACAATGATTTAAGTAAGGTTATGCGTAATAGATTACCAAATCTTCTTATTATTCAATAATTGTTATTAATTAATACACACTTACTAAATATAAGTAAATATCCTTTTTTCTCTTTGTTAAATGATCCTTTGAATGTATTAATTCAAAGATATAAATTGAAGAGATAGTTTTATAAAGTAAATCAGCTTAAATAAGACAGCGTAGATAAGACAACGTATAATATATTGTAGAATATGATGCAATATGCATTACTTATGTTACAATTATCAATGTCTATTCTAAGTTGTCTTTTTCAATAATCGTTTAACGTATTATATTGATAAAATCATTTTTAGGATACCTAAACAAGTGAATTCCTGACAGAGTGTTTGAAAACGCATAGAGACTTTAAACGTTAAATTTTGCCGCTATATTCAGACTCTTCAGAACGTTAACTTTAAATCTTAAACGACTACAGCGACAAGTGTGGACAAAATCTGAACTAAAAGTGCAATAGAGAATAACATTGTGCAGTTCTAATAATCGGTGCATAAACTTGTGTAGTTTACATCAATTTAACTGTGTATGAGTGAGGGTAGAGCTTATGATAGTGTGAGTTGCAACTATAGAAATACATAAAACCTGTCAGCGAAATAAAAAGAGATAGAGCATGGGAGGTTGATGTTGTCTCTCTCTAATCTGCGCTGAGCGGCGCATGCGCATTAGTCTGCTAGTAGAGATTAAGATAGATGGTATCATATACATACGTGTATAAGCACGACAAGTCTAATGCGCATGCGCCGGTACCGCATGTGTTAGAGAGAGACACATCAACCTTTCGTTTTTTGTTGTTATATTCATGCAGAGACATTTCCACTTACACAACCGTCTATTGTGTTGAAGAATGCAATGAATGCATCGAATGCAAATTCTCTTATAAATTGCAACAGCTATTTGGATGAAATTAAAGAAGTATTGTAAAAAAGGTATTTCAATTACAATCATTACAAGTGTATTAGAATTAATCTTTTTTTGAAATAATATAATATAAAAATGATATTAAAACAATTATTGTTTGTTAGAGTGGGTATCTGTAAAAATATAAAAGTTATTAAAAAATATTATAACGTAATTAGTTTCTGTAAGTGAAATGGATAAAAGGAATGAATGAAAGGAATAAAAGAAATATGATATTAATTAGGAAGTGAAAAGAAACTAATTACAATTATAATATTTATGGTAAGCGGTCTTTGGCTAGTTTTTACTTGCAATGGAATGTATATTATATAAAAATATGATAAACATTATATTGAAAGTAAAATACCATTGCCCGGGTCTAACCACGAGGAGGTAACCGCTTCTGAAGACCCAGGAGGGATGTGCATCCTAAAAATGCTCACATCCGAATATCATTCAAAGGAATTAACCTAACTCTTAGGCCCCACCATAAGAGTACCATCATAAAAAATTCTTAGAATTATTATTAAGAATAGCAAAAAAAAAAAATACAAAATGATAAACAAGGATTAAGTAATCTGAAAAGAAATTCAATAGAAACATTGATGTTAGTTGAAACTAACACATCCTAGAATAATTTCAATACATGCACATATGGAAATTTACAAATTGGGAATATTTTATGTTTAATAATTTTTAATCTACCTAAAATATAGTTTAATAAAAATAAATGTATATAATATTAAATGGTATCTATAAAAGAAAAATAAGATATTAGATGGTATCTGTAAAAAAAAAAAGAAGATACATTAAAAATAATTATCATACATATCTGATGCTAGACAGAATAACATACAAATAATTCAAATACTTTAATTATTTTTACAAGTAATTATTTTATATATATATGTTACCCTTTACTATAATTATAGTCCTATTCTTATCTGTTTCCTATTATTCTTGAATGGAACATTGCATCGTCTTTATAATTCATCCTGTGAATAAAAAAGTAATAAATAAATTAAAATACAACCCGTTTACCATAACTCAGTCCTCTTTTGGTCAATTATCCCTTTCTTCTTGGATACTCCACTATTATGAGAAACCTAGAACAAGAAGAAACCTAAAACAAACAGAAAAATAAAGAAGTAAGGAAGGAGTGATGGTTGGTGGAGGTGAAATTCTAGGTAAGGGACATGATTTTCTCCCAATTATTGGAGGTAGGAGAAAATCATGGCTCACGTAGGGCAGGGTCGCATCCCTGAAGTAAACCCTTTCTTTGAGAAGAAACCAAAGAAAGAATCTACTCGTTACCCTTTAAAAAAAGAAACTGGAAACGAGCCTGAAAAAGAAAAAGAAAAGATTATTTTGGAGGTCTGAAAAGATGCAATGAATGCATCGAAGGGAAAGTTCCTGATGAAAGATGCAATGAATGCATCGAAGGGAAAGTTCCTGATGAAA